GCGGCGCTCGCACCACCAGCATGGCGGCGGCAGCGGCCGGGCGGGCGCAGCGCGGGACGCCCATGTACTCGGTAGGCGGCGGGAAGGGCCGCGGGGCCGTTCACTCTGGAGCGGAGCGRCGGCGCCTCGCGCGCTGCGCCCCTGTCCTCTTGCTGCGGGTGCGGGAGGGGGCAGCTCCCGGACCGCGCCCGGACACGGGGGTCCCAGGGCGCTGCCCCGGGCCCTTAGCGCCCCACGGCACAGGCCCCACGGCCCCCTGTACCCCGTCGTGCTCCGGCGCGGCCCGGTTGGTAACGGCGGGTGCCCGGGGGAGCGGCGGGTCTGCGGGGGTAACCGCAGGTAGGTGCCATCCCAGCCCGGCCTCCGTGGGTGCCGGCCTCTTCCCTGCCCCTCGGTTTTGTTTTATTTGGGGGAATTCGGCTGGGAAGTTAAGAGTGGCCAAGTGGAAGCCACAGCTGGAGAGTGTAGTGAAAGACTCCTCTTCTGCACGTGCTAAACTTGCAAATACTGTGGGTTGGCCGTGAAACATGCAGAATTTGATCACTTCTGCATCATGTCCACATTTAAATCACTGTAAAATTTCTGATTTTGCACAGATGACTTCTCAGCAGAAGTGCATTGTAAAATACCAGTCTTTTCTTAAAGAGGGATAAGACCAGTGGAGCTTCTCTTTGAAAAGACTCTTGCCAAAGGCSTGTGTGCAGCTCTGTGTAGCTCTGTAAGTGCAGCAGGTGTCTGCAGAGCATTTTAGAAGCCAGACCTTGGGCTGCCTTGCGGAATAGGAGCACCTGTAATGAGAGTGACTCACCCTCCTTTAACTGTATCTGTTATCTCCAGTGGACGTGTCTGTCGTAACTTCTTGGCCGGCGTGCACGCGATGTGCTCTTGTTGTTAAGTTTTAAATTAAATTTGCTCTGGGAAACTTGTCATCAAGTTGGAATTGACAAACCGAGTTCTCCCGTGTGAAACAGTTGGARTGACTTTGTTGGCCTTCATTTTTATTGCAGCTCTTTTACCAGCCTCAAGTGAGGAGGTTGGGCTGCGAGATAGAGGCCAAAACTCACTGCATTTGGGCGGTGGGGAGATGGGGAGAAATAACTGCTGGTTGTGGAGAACATTCCCAAACTCCTCTGTGTTTCCTTGGCTTTCTGCTGGTATCTCTCCCAAGTGCATCATTTTATTGTTTTCAAAGAYTAGGTGCAAAAGAGAAATCCGAGGCTCCTACTAGATTTATCCTTGTGGTTAATGAGTTCCATAGTAACCATGAACCTACCTGGATTTTCTCACTCCTGCGTTTCCCATGGTGTGTTTTCTGCACATGTGCTCTGGCAGGGGTTGAAGCTGAAGCTGCAGTTTGGCTTTGTGTGAGGGGGGGGATTCCTCTCCCTCTACTGACAGGTAAAGTGTGCTTGTTTTGGTTCCCACACTGCCTCTATGTGCAGCTTCAGGGCAGGGCAAGAAAATAACCACTGATACATACACATTAAATCAGGAAAAGTGGCAGAGAGGTGGCTTTTCAATTGACTCTGGCCTTTGGAAAAACCCTTGAGAGAGACACGTTTTGGAGGGGCTGTAGCAGGCAGTGGCTGCTGCTGTGGCTCGTAATACCAGCTAAGGGCTGGGTTTCTTTGCTTTTCACATACTTGCRTGTTACGAGGTTTCTACTTTGGCAGTAGAAATAAAAATAGCTTGGATTTTCTAAGCAATTTCTTGCTGCAGACTGGAAGAAGTCTGTGTATAGGGTAGAACCAGCTGATATTTTCTCATGCTATTCTGACCCATGTTTTTGCTGTTACAGGATGTGCTTTTTTTCTTTGCTGTCTTTATTTTTGATTGACATAAGGTATCAGTGGCAACAGAAGCATTATACAAGTTATTTTCAGTATTCTCGTGTGCTAAATTACATCAAATGATTTAGCTGCAGAAGAAGAAAGGTTGAAAACAACCCAGTGCAAACCCAGCCTGGGGGGAGAAAAAGCCTGAAACTTGTAAACTAAGAAACTCTCTGATGGTTTTTAAAGTCCTTGGGGAGGYTGGTTCTGCAGTTGCTGCAGGACAATTCTCTCCAGGGTGATAGCGGAAGGAAAAGCTGGAGGGCTAGAGAGCTAGAAGCCATCCGGTGCTGCTGTGGTGGGAAGATGGTGTCCAGATCTGCTTGCGCTCTGTGGTGGGGAAAGTGAGAAGGTCACCTGTTGTGGCAGGAGTTGTGTTCCCTAATAAAATGAATCTGGCTTTTGATACAGCTGAGGCTTTAAAGGATTTCTTTTGTGGTTCTTAAGTGGTGATATTCCTGCACCAAATCTTGTTGCCAGTGAACCGACAGGGACTAAATGTTTGCTATATGCTTATTTTAAACCTGTCAGCTGTTTGTGATAGCGTTGCTGATAYGACCATGGTCAACTGGCAGTGAAATGTGACTCTCTGCCAAGGCTGAACACCCAGCTGCCGCTGCTGGGCATGTTTCATATCTGCTTCCAGTGTTTGTGTGTGTTAGCTGGCCCTGCCCTTCAACCTGGGACCAGAAAATGTCACTGTAAGAGCCAGTGAAATAACATGTTTTCTCCCTCSGTGTGTAGGTTGGGACTGGTTCTGCATAGGTTGCGAATAGGAAGAATGAGTGGATGGGAGGGAACGCCTGTGCTGCTGTTCTGGACGGGGGAAGACAGAAGCCTTTTTATTTCAGTATCTTCTAAAAATGTGCTTAATCAGAACAGTTATATAGCCTTTATACTTGTATTTTGCTGAGCCTGACCTATGCAACTGCCTTGCCTGCCTGGTTGCCGTTGCTATTATGTWGGAGTTTAGATGAATGCCCATTCAGTTCCAGAAAGACTAAGGAGTTATTCATGCACACTGTGGTGTTACAGGAGATAATAGGAGACATCTCTCTCTCCAGTGCAGGAGATACTGGTTGAAGAGTTTTATCTTGGGCATTTCTGTGTTGGGATTGATCTGCAGCTAGTAGGGASGTGCTGCTAGTTTTTCTGCTTGGTAGTGACATAGGCTGCTGGGAGCTGCCTTCTCCTCTTGTCTGTGTGCTGCCTTTTGCTAGGGCCCAGCTCCAGGTGGCTGTATGAATCACCTGCAGTTAGCCTGGTAACTGCTTTTTTATGGTTGTTTTGTTCCTGTCGGACTGTGCTTTTATACCTTATATCTGAGCTTGAAAGCAAACATGGAGCACCCACGTGCCAGAGGCAGCTTAAAGCAGGAGGCATCGTGGGTTTTCTTCTTTGTTATTTTCATAACGCCACTCATCTCATTGCCTTCTTGCAACTGCAACAGTTGGAATCAAAGGTTCTTTAGTTAATGCCTCTTAATGATGAAGAGGCCAGAGGCGAGGCGTTTTGAACTCTGAAGTCTAGATGTTCTCCTGACTTCTTCCTGTTGGACAGGATTAAGTAATGTGGTAAAGGGTGAACTTGGCAGTTAGAAAGTTGCAGCATTGTTTCAAGAAAGTAGTGTTTGTTCATGCACTTGGAGTATGGGATGCAGGTAATTTGGAAATCTAAAAAACAAACATTGCAAAAGTATTGCACGCCATTTTATGTGCAAAAACACAGTATTTTGCTATTTTAACCAAGCAGACCATTGAATAGCTCAAGACTGTGTCTCATTCTTGATTTGTCTGTTCCTAGCAGAAAGAGCTCACGTCAAATAAAAGAGATGAGTTTGAAGACATCTTGGAGGAAAGACGGGTGTCCAGTGACTTGAGATATGCAATGAAGTGCTATACACCCGTGCTATACAAAGAGCTTTCACCGTGCAAGCCACATGTAATTAAAAGTGCTGTTCTGCAGTCAGAGCAAGTTCAATATGTCATCAAGCAGGTGAGTCCCAATGCTGAGCTGTAGGACAGCAGACTGAGCCCAGGCAAACTTTGTGTGGCAGAAGCGGGGGGAAAAATGATTGCTGACCTTGCGGGAGCTGAKAGCTTGAAAGCTAGTTTGAAAGACAGTCCCAGTCTCAAATCAGTAATTTGAGAGCTGTGGTCTTCTGGCAAGAAAAACAAATACTGATTTACCACAGAGCTGCCACTGAGGCTGCTAGATTACTCATTCATGTAGCACTGTTTTAATCCTGAATATAGGACAGTTCACCTGTAACATATCAAAGGAGCTTGACTTTTTTCCTCTCTCTCCTTCACAACCCATGAGATAAAGCAGCCGTATGAAGGGCATAAGTATCTTCCTTGTTAGTCAATATTTATGTACTTTGAGGGTGTCCTGTAGTAATTTTATAAGCTGTTGACACATTTTATGAATCAGTTGTAAATGCTTCATCCTCTAAAATCAGAATTAATCTTCACACAATTAAACTTCACTTGATTTCTTTGGGTTAGAAACTAATATATAAGAATGTTTTAATATTTAGGATTAAGGGTACTATTTTGTAGTACTACTTTGTAAAGAGTGAAACATTTTGTATGCAAACTGTTTCCTATCTTCCATTGTGTTGAAATGAAAGATGTAAGTATGTTATCTAGCAGAGTAGCTATTTGCAGTATGCTAGAAAAAGAAATTGCAGGTCAGCAGAAGTGTGTAAAATGGTTAGACATGAGTGACTGCCATAATCCTTTTAAATTTTTTTTATTACATACTGAAATTTGTTATGATGTGACAAATTAACACATTTTTTTTCTACAATACATTCGTATTGCCACTGTGAGGAAGAGCTAAATAATACGAAATTCAAAAGAAAATCAACTTTGGAAGCAATAAAGCATTTACTTTACATGAAAGAATATATTTTGTGGAGGATTTGTTGGAAAGACTTGTGTGGTTGGGTGGTTGTTTTAAAGTGCTATTTTCCTGACAAAAAAAAAAAAAAAAAAAAAGATGGAAAATTTTCAACTAAGCACTAAATAGTTCAAGGGTGGTAACAGTCCTGCCATTGCATTCTAGTTTTCAACTTTAAACCTGAGATTACTGAAAGTATTTAATTAGGACTATTTTGGGCAAGATGCCCAACCACGCACAATTAGCCTGCCTCCTGTCTGGGCAGAGTTTACTTGGCTCACACAAACCTCATAGAATTTATTCTTGTGACGGTCTGCTGAGGCCGAGAGTATTCAGTGTGTGAAATAAAGTGCATGTGTTTATTTTAGSTTTTTTGTGGCCGGTTTGAGTTCTTCATCCCAGGTTTTCGGGAGTAAGTGCCTCTCTCTGCAGCGAGTGTGTGCTTGATTCACAGATCAACTGTGTGATAAACGTTTTACTCATGAAAGAGAACAACCTCGTTCCCTAGTGAATAACAGGAGTATTTTATTGCTTCCTAAGGGAGATTGCCTATCTTAGGCTTGTGTGGAAGCAAAGTTTAGCTTCTTTAAGTGGTTAAGACAATCAGTTGTAGCTACACATAGAAATATTTGGTATGAAAATTTACGCACTCACTTAAACAGATACGATCGTAAAGTGCTACTTGGAGATACATGGAGGCAGCCATGGGAGATAGTTTCTTTTGTGTTGTAGAATAAAAATAATAGCGCTGGCCTCTAAACTGAGGCCAAAACAATCACTTTATTGAAAGCTTTTTTTTTTTCTTTCATTCCTGTTCCCTCCTCCTCCTCAATGGTTAATGAAATACGTATTCTTACAAAACAGTAGATGAGCAGCTTTTCAGTTAAACATTTTTAGATTCAGAGTATGAGGGAAGAGGAATGCCCATTATTTAAGTCTGTTTTAAGAAACTTAGAAGTGTGCATAGCAACAGGAGGAAAACATTGCTATGCAAAGCTGGTAGAGACRGTGCTTTGTATGCATTTCAGCTAGACATTGCCAAAGTAATGCATTGTAAAGAAATTCAAGCGTGGTAGGGTGGAGATTCTTTAGGCAGTCTGCAAGTGTAGTTCAAGTGCGCTTGTCTGACTTACCTTGTGAATGTCTCTGTGAATATGGGCTTTGTTTCATTTATCACTGGGAGAAAATTGCATGCAACCTTCACACCAAAAAAAGATGTGAAATATGCTATGTTAAACATCTGCTGAAGATACTACAGGCTAAAACATTTGAATGATGTATTTGGGGAAAAAATGTGCTGCACCACTGCCCCATCATAGATAAATAAGTTCATTCTTGACTTGAAACAACTTTAACTTGTCTTTCTTTTGTTGATTCATGTGGAGCAGGTTCAATAAGGTGCCTGTCACCTAGAATAAAATCTTGCCGACTGTCGTATTAGTTTTGCTGCAGTTGCTGTGGCACATGGAACAGTGTGTGTGCAGGGGGGAAGCAGGGGCCAACTTCTGACTACTCTCTTGTTTTTCTTTCCCTTTAGTTAGCAAAAGAGACAGGAGAGTCACCTGATATTATTCAAGAGGAAGCCATGGAAATTCTGGATGAGATGGGCCACAGTATGCAATTAGGAGCCGTCAGATTTTTTGCCTTTACTCTGAGCAAAATATTTAAACGACTTTTTCAGAGAGTTTGTGTGAATGAAGAAGGAATGCAGAGAGTGAGTACTACTTAAGAGGGGGAAAGAAAAAGCTATAATATTTCCCTACTAGTTGCTCAGTGAAAGACTCCAATCTTCACTTCAAGTAACAAATGTAAAAATGAAAAGTTCACTAAAAATTACCCTTATTATTATTTTGTTATTAAAAAATATGTATATCTTATTGCACTACTTGGAAAACAATCAATGGAAAAAAAGGCAGATTCTGTTAAGCATTTTAGATACAAGTAGTCAGCAAGATTTCTTGTACTATTTTCAGATGCTGCCTACAACAGAGAGTCATTGTTATAGAAAATATCTTACCTCTTTTGCAGAGGTTAGATCTGAACTTGAAGTATGTTTGTAAATGAATGCAATACGTGTGAGATTTAAAAAAAAAAAAAAAATTAAGAATGCTATTGTTTGTTTTGGTGCTTAGAAAGAATRATTGTCCAAAAAAAAGAAAGAGCACATTGTGATCTTCCTCTCGCTCTTGTCTTTTTTTTTTCCCCTTTTTCCCCCTTATGTCATTGTTTTGCTGGCTCTGTAGGGGTTCCCTAGGGAGCTGTAGTCCCCTGGTTTCCTTTGCAGGATGGCCCTGCCCTGGAGGGTGCCGCGTGCTCGCTGGAAGACTTGGCGGTCACAGTGGGGTTTCTCCTTCCCACCAAAGGGGTTTGGATTGTGCCACCATGCAGTGAGGTGGCCCCTCTGTATGAGTGCTGCAGTGCTTGTGAACCCCCCCACACATTGCAGTTATGGAAACTGTAGCTCCAAGTTTCCTGTGACTAYACTGAAGAGGGGTTTAGAGCATACAGATGGAGAAATCTCTCTCTCAAAAAATGAGCTTCTGTTTTCCCAAGCCACACAAAGGTCTGTGTTTGCAGATTTCAACAGTCAGTCTGTAAATGCTGGAACAGTGTTGTGTTTGGGCTTTTTTTTTTCAGTTACAACAAGCCATTCAAGAGCATCCTGTTGTACTTCTGCCCAGTCACAGAAGTTACATAGATTTTTTGATGCTGTCTTATTTGCTGTACACCTACGACTTGGCTCTGCCTGTCATTGCTGCGGGAATAGGCAAGTATGTTCTCTAACAATGTTTGCAGGATCCAGAAAATCTGTAGCAAGTGGTTTAGTAGCTGCTACTCTAAGTAACTGTCTCTTTAATTTTCAATTTTTTTTTTTTTCCAAATATGTCTTGGAATGTTTCCCTTGTATTCCATTGTTTTCAGTGGAAAAGCTTTTGAAAATTCTCCAGCAACCCAGGTTGCTCTCCATTTTCAGTAGGGGCTGTTTGACGCAATGAACTTTGCTTTGAGCTTCTTGCATGAGAAGTGCCACAAAATTTGGGAACTGCCTTTTAGTAAGGGGGCACCTRTAATAGCTAAAAGTTAAAGGTATTTTTTTCAGGTACATATTAAGCTTATCTTTTCTCCCATTAAAATAAATGAGGACAGAACTGACTTAGGGTTTACTTCTGAAATGAACACTCCTCTGATGCTCTAGAATAGATTGGAGCAGTGGCTGGAAATTTTTCAAGGGTAGGCGCTAAACCGTATCTCCTGCAAATGACAAGTTAGGTCTAGTCAGAAAAAAAAACAGCTGAAGCTGGAGGAATACATTGGTGGAGAAGACAAGAGTCTTGTGATCTGTGAATTGGTGGTGTCTTGTCTTYGGGTGATACACATTAGCTTCTGGCAAATTCAGAAGCTGCTGTCTCCTAGCCGCCTTTTTAAGGGAACCGCAGCTGCTGACCTGTAGCGTGTTACTGCTTATGTGCAGTTGTAGGTGCCCGTGGGCTCCTCAGCCGATTTCTGGTTTAAACCAATACTTGGTTTGAGTTATGCATCTCAAGACTCTTAAGATGTTACTAAGGTAGTTTACAGGGAGATATATATATATATATGTTATTATATATATAATGTTCTGTGTATTTGTGGTCAAGATCCTTCAGTTAGGCTTTTGCAGCCTGGTGACATTGCTGCATGCGTGTGGCATTTTTAGAGTCCTCTGTCTGGTGGAAGCACCCACAGCGCTCCCGATTTCAGTCGTRTTTGCTGCCTGGGCTCGCAAGGGCCGGTATGCAGCTCGCCTTCCAAGTGGTGCTTGTGCTGCGTGGAGAGAGACCCTCCTCATCTCGGTGATGAGTGCCTCTCCGCTGTGAGTTATCCCTTGACTCCAAGGGAGAGTTATCCCTTGACTCCAGGGGGCTTCCATACGGACTGGTATATGGGGACCAGCTAAGGTGAGGTGAATAGTTGCTGGTACCAGCCCTGCCACAGGGTTGCTGGCATRTGGTGCTGCATTAGCTGCGACCCAGCTGGTGCTCCTGTGTGCATTTCAGTTGCACCGTCTGGAACAAGGAGCAAGTGAGGTTCAAGGCATGGACAAGGTGGGGTGGGCTTGAGGTGTTTGAGGTGTAATTTATTATGTACGTTAGAAGACCTCTATTTACGTGCAAGAGCATGCTGCTCTATATATGCAATAACATATGAATAATAATAGTGTGTATACAGATACATGTATGCATATAAAGCCTGTGTGCGTGTGTACCGTAAAATTAYAACACATCTGCAAGGCAGTTGTGCCAGTGTTGCATCTGGAAATGTAGTTTATTTACCAAGGGAATCTCTGATCTCAGATATTTCACTGTTTGAGATGACAAGAGACCTGAAGCAGCAAATGGCAACTTATGGGTAGACTCTTGTTTTAAATGCATTCCTTAAAAAGGTGTTAGTGTTGTCTGGTTCTGATGAATTAAATATTGACCTTGACAATATAAAACTAGAAAACGACCCAAAAGTTTAATTGATTTGCTTTGGTTTGCTTTCCAGCACCACCCAAAAGATGATGAGTCAGGATCTCAAGTGCTGTAGCTTTATACAGTGTAATTAATCGGTTAACTTCTGTGTCTCTTAGGATGTATTAAAGGGTAATCAATCTTTCTGAAGTGAGACAATGAACTAAATACAGTCTTCATTGGGACTGAAATCCAACACTCTAAATTATCCAAATAAATTGTTTTAAGTGTATGCTGTATGCAAAAGCTTCAAAGGCTATAAGTCATGTCTACATATGTGTTGCTTGATGTTCCGAAAGCAAGTAAAGGTATTCATAACAGTAGAATCCTTGATTCTCCCTTACTCTGGTAATTAAGTCAGTGTTTTAGGGAAACTGCTTGCCCCTGCTGGCTGATATTAATCCATGGATTTCGTTTCTGTGGTTTTGTTCTTTGTTTTTTTGCTTTTTTTTTTTTTTTCAGACTTCCTAGGAATGAAGATAGTTGGTGAGCTGCTGCGAAGGGGAGGCGCCTTCTTTATGCGACGTTCCTTCAGTGGCAACAGACTCTACTGGGCAGTTTTTGCTGAATATGTAAAAACTATGCTAAGGGTAAATAAACTATCTATTTGAACTATCAAAATATATACTTAAGAAATACTGTGTTGCAGTTATTCTTGTGAAATATTCAAGATGTTGTAGGTACATGAATGAAAATTTTACTACGATCTAAGGAAATGGTTTTTTTCCCCTTAAAATCGATGCAAGCAAAGAGGGCACTTGAACTTCATTATAGAGTTCAACAGTAGATGGTAACCAAATCACAGCTCATCAGTTACTTTTAATTTTGTGCCCACATCTCATCCACAGGCAAAATACGTCCATTAATTTAGCTGTGTGGTGCCACAGATGCATTGAATGCTTATCGACCTAGAGATGACTGAAATTAGATACGCATGGCTTCTGTTTAAAAAATTTAATGAAAAAAAAAGAGAAATAAAAAAGGAAATATTGTTCTCACATTTTTTTTGTGTGTGTATGTGTCTTGTTTTGTTTTTCAAGAATGGCTATGCCCCGATTGAATTTTTTCTCGAAGGGACTAGAAGTCGCACTGCCAAGACTCTAACTCCAAAGTTTGGTAGGTTGGTTAAAAACTCAGAGCTGTTCATGTTGATGAGTATTGTCATTTGTGGTTTGTTTCTTCGTAAGTTCCTCAGACAGTGTGGGGGGTTAAAGTGGTGGGAAATGGGTGAGGTCTGTCAGAGCAGTGCAAACCACTATGGTTAGAGTCTCAAGGCCATACCAAATGGCAGCACAAGTCTGTTGCACTCTCCCTCTCCCGGTGTCCCAGTCTGTGCTTGCCTGSAAGGTATTCCCTCGCTAGCACAGAAATGTTTTAAATTAACCCTTAGAAATAAGGAATCCCTAGGAGGAAGACAAGATACTTCGTAAGTGCTAAATCTGAATGCATTGCTTATGTTACTTTGTGTTTTAGAGCCTGGAAAGCATCTTGTGCTCCTGCTTGCTTGAGGAGACAGTGAATACAGTGCATGTCAGTTAGTGGCTTTTAATCTTTAATATGGTTTCTGGTTGTCTTCAAAATTAAATGGCGGTYGCTGTTCTCTGCTCTGAAAAGACAAGTGATTCACTTTTTTTTTTTTCTCTCTTCTCCTGTTTGCAGGTCTTCTCAGTATTGTGATGGAGCCCTTTTTTAAACGTGAAGTCTTTGACACGTACCTCGTTCCCATCAGCATCAGCTATGAGAGGATTTTAGAAGAATCCCTTTACGCATATGAACTCCTAGGAGTCCCAAAGCCCAAAGAATCTACGTCTGTACGTAAAATCCCTAAGAATACAATGTGGTCGGATGTGTGCACACCCTGTGGCTTTAAAATTTGTTCTGCATTCTCTCCATTTCGTTAGGGCTTGTTGAAAGCCAGAAGAATCCTCAGTGACAATTTTGGGACGATACATGTTTACATTGGCCAGCCGGTGTCACTCAGAACCTTAGCATCTGGGAGGATCAATCGATGTCCCTATAATTTGGTTCCCAGGTACCACATCTTTCATGGCTTGTACACGACTTGTACTCGGGAAAAGCATTTGTTTAGTYTTCACCTATATAAAATAATCAAGTGCTTTCAGTACTCTGCAAGTTTGTGTACTCTTGAGTTTCTCTGCTCCCTATGATCTGACGACTGCACCAGTTATGTYTGAGGACAATACAGTGCGTGTTACTTTGTGTGTGATAGGGTTTTACTGAAATAAGTTGTTATCTTCTGTAGCTTTGTATCATGTTGAGAAATGTCATTTAAAAAATAACAATGATGCATGAGGTGTATGAAACTGAGAACTTAGTGTTTTCATCACTTAAAAATTCTACTATTCTCTCCCTTCTTGCACTGTTACTGCAAGCTGTTACTTGATCCTGCACCAGGAAGCTGTAGCTTTGACTGGATTAGGCAACTTTTGCAATTTGATGCAGGAAAGTAAACCCTGGTATTTCTTTGCAAATAACAAATGTGCAGTGCTAATGCAGACCTCCACGTTTTAAATGCTGTTGGGAAGCTAATGCTGTTTTGCGTTCTGTTTYGGTTCTGTGGTGCATACTGCAAGGACAGAGTTACTCTCTACATCTTAGATATTTAGGACCAAAAAGGAAATATGCAAATTACTAGATATAGCTTAAATCCTACATTTCAGAGTCTCTCTCTTTTTATTATTTATTTTTTGTTTATTTTAGGCATCTGCCCCAAAAGCCGTCTGAGGATATCCAAGAATTTGTCAGCGATGTAGCTTATAAAATGGAGCTCATGCAAATAGAAAACATGGTTTTGAGACCCTGGGTGCTTGTTGCTGCTGTCCTGCTCCAGAATTTGCCAGCCATGGATTTTGAGCTTCTAACAGAAAAGACCCTTTGGCTTAAAGGCTTAACACAGACTTTTGGGGGATTCATCGAGTGGCCTGGTATGCAGAGAAAGCATTACTTCTATTACTTTGGGTGTTTATGAAAGTTAAATTATATTTACGTCAAAGCAGGGTACTGTGACTTTACAGTATAATATTTTCCTTAGTAGTGAGTCATAAATGGCTTTTAAAATGCAAAAATGATGCTAAAAGCTGGCAAAAATGATGCTAAAAGCTGAAGGTTTTTGATTCAAGCTGTAGAAGATACTTCCCTGGTTTTCAAAGCAGTATAGGCAAAACAGAAACTTTAGTATTGTTTCTTGACGTGTAGAATGGAGGGAAAATCATAAGGTAATTATATTAAGGAGTGCTGAGATTGACCTAATGTCTATATTTCTGAACCATTTAAATGATTCCTTTTAAAATGCAACTCACAGGCAAAATGTAACCCCATGTGCAAAAGTAACTTAGTATAATGCTATTTCTTGATATTAACTGTAGGATAAACTGCTGAAGTGGCGAAGGACTAGCCCAAAGGTATATGAGAAATAACAAAGCTATAATTTGTCTGTTTGTTTTTGCACTCTGCTTTATCCTCAGAAAGAGTGCTAGGCAATAAGATTATATATGGCTGCTGAAAGGTGATTCTCCATCCAACTTAAATATATTTATATATTTTTTTTTCTCTGAAGCAAAGTGATACAGGTAACTCATGGTAGAGCCTCAGGATACAAGTGGTAAAGCAGGCCAAGAAAAGATAATTATATGATGCAAAGACATTTATCTTTTTACGGTAGATATTTTTAAGCTACAGATCTGTGCTTCTGGAGTCATATTTATAGTCAAGGATCTCTCTCAGTGCTGCCAGAAAGAAATATAAGCAGGCCACAGTTTTCACAGAACTTTGTCACAATTTCTGGAAGGACACAACTCCTTCCGAACACCTTGACTGTAGTGAGTATAGGCAAGGTCTGCTCCTGCCAGGCTGGTAAGGGGAGGAATTTCATGGCGATAATAAGCATAATGTAGTATGCTTAAAGTAAGGTTTTGCATTTGAGTTGCCCTAGTTGCTTTGACTATTTTCCTGGCAGTGATGATTAAGCTTTTGCTTTAGTTGAGTTGTTGTGCAGTCAGGATTCAGAAAATAGGCATGGTAATGAAAAAGAGAAATGGCAACAACTAGCTAACAACTAAATGTTGAACGCAAGATTTTGGTTCTGCTCTAGGCATCATTTACATTAAAATAGCCTTTTTTATTCTATTTTGGGGAAAGATTATTAATAATTTGAAAGAATAAGTACATTTTAAAGGCTTGAAGTTGTTACATAGTCAGAAGATACGTGTTCCCTGTCTATTTGTCTGTCTCCAAACTGCTGGCTAATGTCTCTCTTTTCGTGCTGGTTAGTTGATAGAGGCAGAATATCTGCTGAGTGGTTAGAAGTTTCCATTTTAGAAACAGCAGCTGCAAAATGACTTTCTCACATTTCTCCTTATTACACTGAGAACGTTGAGAGCTCTGGCAAAACTGGAGCAAAACAAGACGAAGGAAAAAATAAAGTGCAGTGAGATTCTGTGTGAAAGCTATGTTAAGAGCGCAKAGTATGGAATACGTGATTTTTCTCCCCTCCTGCATCAAGGCCTGTACTGATTAGATATAGTTGTGTATCTGATTCAGAAATTACAGCGTTAGAAATGCCTTAGGCCTCTGTTTCCTTAATGATCATAGAATCATAGAATCCTTACAGTTGGAAGGGCCCTTCAGAGATCATCTAGTCCAACCCTCATGGAAAAGTCTTCTTTAAAAAGCCGAGGTGCCAGATGATACTGGTTTCATCTATTAGACTATTTCAGCTTCCATATTTACTTGTTTAAGATATCCTCGTATGATTGTATTGGGGAAACTCCTCTCAGATAATTTTCCTTCCCTCTGCGTCACAACATACTGGTTCTTGAAAGCAGAACCTTGCCCAAACTTGATTCAAGCATCTTGCTGATAACTGTGTACTCTGCTTGGCTAATCCTGGAGTATGTCGCCCTTCAAACAAGGGATTCAGATAGTTTTGGCTTGGACATGCTTTGTTCTTTTTGTGTGCCTGACTTCCTCCTATTACAAGGCGGTGGTGTGCGCTTCCAATGGTGATATGTTCCCTTTTCCAGCAGCCTGAGTGGTGTTTTTTCCTGCTAGATAACCTGTGTGCCAAAAAAGCCGTCACGTCCGGCCTGGCCCTGCATTCCAACATCGCCCGCCTCGTCGACGGCCACGTGGTCCTAAGCGACGCAGGAGCAGCAGAGGGGGCCGTGGTCTTCAAGCGAGCCCTGGCCGTCCTCCTGTGCGCGACCTACAGGAACCAGCTGCTGAACGTGTTTGTGCGTCCCTCCCTGGTGGCCCTTGCCCTGGAGGTGACGCGCAGCTGCCGAAGAGGTAACTGCGCCCGCAGGCCTCGGCCTCGGCCCGCGGGAGCCGCCTCCGAGCGTCGCCTCCGAGCTGTGCGCGAGGCGAGCGGGGCCGCCCGCGTAGGGGCCTGTGGCGCGGCGCCCATACCGACGTATGTGTTRGTGCAATTCCCGGAGAGGGCGGAATTGAGGTGAGGGGACCCTGACTGCGGCCTGCGCAGGTCTGGAATACAGAATCAGTACGGGTTAGGAGTGGATGCCCTGGAGTATTTGTGTTGCTTCCCTTGTGGTGTGCTCTGTGGAACTGCCAGAGGGTGAAATAGCACCCAAAGTGGCATAAACCACTTTTTGTATTTCCAATATGTTAAGTGCAGCTATATCACAAGTGTCTCCTGTCTCTCTAGCCAGGTTTAGTTTTACAGGAATGTGAAATGACTTACTGTGGGTGGGTGTCTTAGCTTGGCARTTAATAAATAGGCGGCCTGCATTTCAAGTCACAAATTCCACAGGACTTGCTTGCACATGGAGTGCAGCTGGTTCCCTGTTTTATCCTACATCTTCCTGTTGCTGATTCTGAAGTATTTGGGTGTTTCCCCAGAAATTGCCTGTTTAAAAAAAAAAATTGAATACATTATATATATTGTTTGCATGGCATCCAATTATATAGCATGTCATACATGTGCTGAGAAGCTGCATGCATGGTTCTTGAGTTCCCTCTTTTTAGAAACAACTGAATCGAGTACTTGGAGGGATTGTTGTCCCCCTGCGGCATGTGCTGGTGTATATTTATGTATATTTTAATGTCAAGTCAGTTGTTTTTTTTTCAGGCAGCTAGTACCTCTAAAATCATGAGCAAACTTACATGGTACTATATATATTTTTAAATGATKGTACTCTACTATATTTTTTCAGAGGAAGTCTACAGATTCTTCAGCTTCTTGAGAGATATATTTTCTGATGAGTTCATCTTCTTTCCTGGCATTTCACTGAAGGTAAATACATCCTGTGTACATAAACACTGATAGCTCTTACCCACTCAGAGAGAGCTCTGAAATTAGATATTCTTTTGAGTGCTTTGTGATAAATACTTCCAGAGAGATCAGCTTGATCTGTAAGCGGGTGGTAGAACTTAAAAAGGGATCAGAGTGGTGGTCGGTGATTTGTTGCCAAACATTGTCTGAATCCACAGGGTTGCATGMGCATTTTTCTCCCAACTGCAAACTGCAGCAGAGGCTTGGCTTGCTCTCTGTCACCACAGAAGCAAAGCAGGAATTCTCACTGAGGGAGGGCGAGCAGAGCCGGCCAGGGCCCCAGCCGCTACCGCGCATCTCCGTCCCTGTGAGCCCCTCCAGGAGGCCGCAGCGAGGCTGCGTTCCTGTGGGCGCCGCAGCGTCCCTGTGGCATCCTGAGCTTCCTCTAACACCCTCAGCTCTGGGGGCTTCACTACTTCTGCACAGAAGTAACTTCGTGTGTGCGTGTATGTGTGTATTTAGACAACGCATACAAAATTTTGACTGTAATCTAACCAGCTTGAAATGCAGGTGAGCACAAATTTACTAGTAAAAAGGTCACAGTCAGACTCAATATAGACTAGTCTACCAATCCAAGTTTTTATTGGGATTTTAAACTGCTTTTTTTTAAAACCAAATATTAAAGCAAATAATATGATGATGGTATTCAAATGTAGCTTTACAGAGAGATAAGCAGAGATATAAGAATAATTTTGAAAAGAGTCTTCAAGGCTTGTGGCCGTATCTCCAAGATTTTTATATGGAAGAGAATTGGGACTTTTTTAAAGGCTGATTGGCGTAGTTGCTAGTTGGAAAAATGACACGTAGTTTTCATTGGTAGCAATTGTTGTCCCTTGTTCCTTATTTGGTTTGAGTACCTTTTTTAAAATAATGAAACAAAACTACAACAAGGTGACRATGACTGATTTCACTAATACCAAATGGAGGAGTTGCTATGTTATTTCAAGAGGAGATCTTCAACCACCTCTGCTCCTCTCTTTTCCCTTGTTCTTGGCAAGAAAAAGATTTTGTCACAGATGTGGCTCTGATTTTTAATTTTTAACTATTTCTTTAACCTTTATGCAAGCAGCAGGCCAGTCGACTACATTTATCAGAACCAGGGGCATGAAAAAAAAGCAAACCCCAACCCAAAAAAATCAAAAATCCCCAGACAATTGGCATTTTCCTGGAAAAAGTCCTGAGGGAGCTCAGGAGGGCAGTTACAGGAGCAGCTATGACCTCCTCTTTTCGGCCTGAAAAAGCCTTTTGTGCATCTAAATGCATCTGGTGGGTTTTTTTTGTTGGGTGGTTTTTTTTTCTTGTTTGTTTTTTTTTGTTGTTGTTGTTTTTTTGCATGAACACATTTCCACTGCCTTTTTAAGATGGGATTTCTGGTATATAGGAAAGGGTTGGTTCAAGCCTCTTAAACTGATTACAGAAATGAAAGTGGTGTCATGTTGTGTTTATTCTTGGGGGAGGGAAAAAGGAGCTGCACCTACTGCAGATGTCAGAAGATCAGTTTTGCTTTCCCTTTCCCAGGATTTTGAAGAAGGATGTTTTCTACTTAMAAAATGTGATGCAATTCAAACAACTCAACAAGAAATCTACCCTACCGACAAAGGAAGTATTGTAATATCTTTCTTATCAGCTATGTTCAGGCCCTTTTTGGAAGGTTATCAGGTATGTTTTTTTCAGAGAATTGCCATCTTTTTCATTTTTTTTTTAAGAAAARACATGAGAATGGAGATTCTTCTGCAATAGAAATACTAAGGTTTTTATGGCTAGAGAGTGGGCAGGAGTTGAGAAATAGCAATGAAAACTCTCTTAAACACCACCCTTACTCCAGGATCCCAGTTTCAACTGCTGTCTCAGACCTTTCAAAACAACCAAAGTAATAAACTACATAGTAAGGTAGTGGCCTGCTGAGGGCTCATAAGCTTCACTTCTCAGGGAGTGTGTGCAGCCAGGTTCGTTTTTATTTCTTTAGGAGGAGTTCTTGCTTAATTCATTTTATGTGGGCTGTCCTGTCATGTGCAGAAATTCGTTTGCAGCTTGTATCTGATAGCCTTTTGGAGGGTCTTGCARTTCCCTCAGTATCTGGTTTTAATTCTTTGGCTTTCTCCACAGATTTAATAAGACTAAACCCTGTAACTTTGAAATAATACTATGTGCAGCAGTTGGAGGCTAAATTGTCACAACAGCATATTGTTGGGAACATAGGTCCTTGAATTTAGTGGATTAGAAAACTGTTAATGATTTGACATATGACTTAAGCTGAACTGTACTATTTTCCATCTGTAAAACATGTTTTCCTTTAAAAGATACCGATTTTGATCGAGAGTATGGGAATGTTAAGTAAACATTTAAAGATAACTATTACAGTAATACTATTACAGAATGTAACTCTCATATTAGAGTTCTCAAGATTGCCTGTAAAACAGGAATAAAACATTCAGGTGCTCTGTGTAACGCTATTTTTGTATCCACAACCTACACTTTAGAAAGTGTTACAATAATGTTAATGTATGAGAACGTTGGCTTGAAATTAATAACAAGTTGGCAATGGAAAGGAAAATAAGATGTTAACTTTTTTAATGTTAGTTAATTTTCAGGTACCTCTCAAAGGAAGCAAAAGAAGCCTTTACGGAGAAGCAGTTTGTACCTGGAGTCCGCAACTTCATTTTTCAGCTGCTTGAGAAGGGTGGGTGCAACTGTTAAGTACTGTGATCGCTTTACAAGCATRGCTTTTTTTATGGGTGGTGATGAAGCTTTTAACTGTGTTTTTTGCTTTCTGTGTAGGGCACACTCAGTGTTATGAAGCATTGTCTTCTGACATCCAGAAAAACGCCTTGGCAGCTCTTGTGCAACTAGGTGCAGTGAAGAAGAAGAAAATGTAAGTAACACTGGATTTTGGTGCACAAAACACCATGTGCGGGCTTGTTGGAAACTGTTAATCATTGATCCATAGGTGCTAAGAGGTTTGCCATAACCTTGATTTCCTGAACACCCGTCAACTGACAGTTGATGGGATTTACCTGAGCCACAGTGAAGGGCTGGGGAGCTGCTTTCTATACGTGCTACAGGAGCAGACCTTGCAGTGTAGACAGTCCTGCGGGACCAGTGACACATTCTGTTAACCCACAAGTTTGCTGCTTTTGACACTGCGTGCTTTATCTTTACATTTCCAGAGTTTCTCCCAAAGCTTTGTTAAGCAAACAGGAGAGACTTATTTAATGATCAACAAATGGCTGTTGCTATACAGGAGTATGAYAGCATGCACTTTGTGCAATCCATTTCATTTGGGATGCGGAGCTTCCTGCTATATTTAGGAGTGCACCTATGGGAGACCACAGTCTAATGAGTACCCATCTTGTCTGGCTGCTCCACAGAACTTAATTGGCAGACTGTAACCTTGACTTACTTTCTTATCTCAGGCTAAGGTTTGTASTGCTCTTGGAAAGCTCACAGGCCAGGTGCTCTTGTTATGCCCCCTGCTTTGTCAGTGTGCTAATACGTGCCTAGGGCTAAATTCCCCTTTCAAGTAAACTGAATAATTCACTGAGTGCCCTGATTTTGACACCAGCTGAAGGTTTGGCTCCATTTCACAGAGATGATCTCGAAAATGATCCAGTTAAAAGAAAACAAGCAGAAGTTGGCCTCCTGCACTTGGCCTTAGTAAGAGAAATCAAGGGAAAAGAAGGGCAGGGGTTCTGAGAGAGAGGAAAAAGGAACCCTCAAAAAAGGAACCCTCTCTCCTTGAGCACAATTTCTTTAAAAGACTGCCATGCTGGGGTTGACCCTTAAAATTGATAGATGCTCACAGGATGAAAAATGTGATGAAATTATATTTTACTAAGATTATATGGAAATGAGAAATTAATTGAAGAAATTTATTTTAAATTCTAGGACCAATGGATTCACTTACAGTGTAGATCAAGAGGCTGTTGATAAAATTCTGGACATGTTTGGTAAGTGTTTCTAACTCTTTAATTAATATCTCCATTTCTAAAGGAAGTTGGGCATTAGCAGTTGTGTGTTGTTTCTAGCATCTCCTCAGTTATCAGTATGAGAATACTAATGGTGTATCTGCATTACAAAGTCTTTTTAATTCCTTTCCCTGTGTTAGCTGACTCTCCCTTCTTTAGTATATTGAAATCATTTTGCAACCCAAGAGCCAGAGAAAACRACCAGAGAAAATAAAACAGCAACTAATTTAATGTATTTACAGTTTTAACGCTGTGGTCTTTATTTTTGTCAGACTCTCGGATACCTGCACAGAAACCTGTGGCCGCCAGACTGTGAGGGGTCGGGATGCCGCCYGGGACCGTGGCTGCCGCCGCCAGCGGGGAACGCGGAGCGGTGCCGAACCCAGCGCGGGGCCCACAGGCGGGAGCCTCRTGCCTTGTCCTTGGGTTTGGCCGAGGCGGGGATGCCTCCGGAACGCTGTTGTGCAGCAGGAGCCTTTTCCATTACCACTGAGACACTCTTGTATTCGTACCCGCGCTGTGTTTGTTTTTAAAAACGGAATAAGCATTGTCTTTCTTTGGATATGTATTTAAAGAGAAGTGCACGGTTAATGGTTACTGAAATATTTTTTTTTAGAGGTGTAACAAGGAATGTGAGTGATTGCACATAATTTCATTGATAGGAAACTGTAATAGGGACTTAAAGACTTAACATTAAAATTGGTGTTTAAGGAGAAAGGAGAGGAGGAAAAAAAACAAAAACCAAAAACCACAGCTGTTTGCTGGCTGGCTCTACCTAGGATAATGAGGCTCCCAGGAAAGAAGAGCACAAATGGAACCTCGGGCACTAACCAGAACTGCTGAGTGTGTTTGTGTGGGGTGTTACTTTCGTTTGAGTTTTTAAAGCAGCTGCCATTATTTTGAAACACGTGCCCTTCTTTTGCTTCTGTCCTCCCGTACTTACRGCAGGGCCGCTCGGAGCACAGCGCCCCCCCGGCTGCTGCCCCCATGGAGGGCGCGGGGGGCGCAGCGGGAGCGGCGCCCCCGTCCCTGCCCTTCCCGCCCGTTGGGCGGCAGCCGGTGACCGTTAGGGGGCAGTTGCGGCCGTTGGGCGGCAGCCGGTGACCGTTAGGGGGCAGCCGGTGCCCGTTGGGCGGCAGTTGCGGCCGTTGAGGGAGGGGCGGGCCCGCGGCGGGCGGAAGGGCAGTGCGCGGCGGCGGGCGGCCTCTTCCGGCGGCGCCATGGCGGCGGCGGCGGGGTGGCGGCGGCGCGCGCTGCGGCTGCTCACGGCCGGCGGCGCCGTCCTGCTCACGCGCTTCCCCTTCTGGCACTGCCTGAGCGCCCTGCTGCTGTGCGCCGAGCGCGCCGACGGGCGCCGGTGCGCGGGGACCGGCACCGGCACCGGGGGGACCGG